TGCTACTTATTAGATGTGTAATCTTGGAAAAACTGCCCAACCATTCTGGCCTCAGTTTCCCCACCTATAAAACGGGGATAATAATAATACCTATCACGCAGAGCCCCTGTGATGATGAATGAGTCTGTCTGCCAAGTGCTTAAGGCAGAGCCGAGCACTGAGCAAGTGCTGTATAATTGTTAGCTAATGTTGTGTCTGAATGAACACTCCAGCAGGGGCGTGTGAATGCGGGTGATGAGAAGGAGCAAAGGGCTATCTAGGAGTGAAAAGAACTGTCCAAATGAGAGCAAAGATGAATATTTCTGAATTCACAAATTTTCAGATTTCCTTGGCAAACGTTAAGTCTGGCTTTTAATATCCATCCATGGTTGGGTGTGGGGGATTGGGGATCAAACTGGGGAAGGTGTCCATCTTTAGATCCAGAGGCAATTTCATGTTGTTGCTTTTGTTTGTTTATTTGTTTGTTTGTTTTTTGCTGAGGAAGATTTGCCCTGAGCTAAGGTCTGTTGCCAATCTTCCTCTATTTTGTATGTGAACTGCTACCACAGCATGGCCGTTGGTGAGTGGTGTAAGCCCACACCTGGGAACCAAACCCAGGCCACTGAAGCCAAACTTAACCACTAGGCTCCTGGGCTGGACTCACTTTTTTTATATTTAATAATAAAAAATAGCATGCTGAATTTAACCTAATTTGAACCATTAAATAGATAAATAATGCAACTGTTATCAGTAAAACATTAGGGCTGAGACCTTAGAAACCATCTCATCCAGCATTTCCCAAACCACTCAGGGTGTCATGAGCACCTTTGTAAAAACACAGATTCCCAGGTTAGGCCCCTGGATAAGTTATCAAGGAGTGGGCCCAGGAATTTGTGTTTGTCTTCATCACAAGCTCTCCAGGTGTTTCTGACAATTGAGCACATTGAGACTCTCTCGTCTAATCTAAGGTCAGGAGCAGTACTGGATCTTAAACCAGGTGTCTTGGCTTTTTGTCCAGCATCTCCTTATTCTGTCTTCTCCCCAAAAGTCAAATAATGCAGTATGCAGAGTATGAGACTTGGAGTGTGCTAGGAATAAACTAAGATATAGCCTCAAAATCATTCAGGATCCCATGTTTGAAAAACTAAGGAAAAATTCTAGATGCAATGCAAATCTAACACAAGATTATTTTTCCTTTAGGTTTCCATTAAATTCCTTTAAATTTAAGCTCCAGGATTTATGGGAATTGCAATCAATAATCGTTGATACTGCACCCACAATTACAGATGACACTGCCTTAGTTAGCACCTTCCACTTGCCAAACGCAGGTATCTCTGTGTGTGTTACACCCCCAATTTAGAGAATAATTCAGAAATAGAAAGCTAGTATGGGTACGATGTGTCTTCAGGGCAACTGCAAATAGTATCTTCAGGCTATTCTCATCATTTGCAGAAAAACATTTATTGTTTGGTGGAAGGAACAAAATGTTTGCCATAGCAACCATGGCAACCCTGGGTGCCTTGCCTATTAGCTGTAATGCAGGGAGCATCTGCAACAGCAGGGAAAGAGTCCTTGGCAATTATCACCCAGATAGTGTCCCTCCATTTTAAGAGCTTAGGCTGACGCTCCTGGGTTTGGAAAATTCTTAACTTGATGTGTTAATGAATGCTAACAGCAACAATTCTATTGTGATTAATTTCAGGGGGATTAATAAACTAAGGTTTTTACTGTGGACAAAAGAGAGATGTGATTTTTTTTTTTTAGATAAATTTGAAGAAATCTTTTTAGCATTAATTCTCCCTCTTTTTCTGTTTTGGTTTGGTTTGAGTTGGTTTTTGGTTAGTCTTTTATGATTTTTATTCTTTGAAAGATGGTGGGGGAGATTCCTTGTCATTTTCCTTTCTTTCTTCCATCATCAATATAAATTATCATATATAAATATGATAAGAATTTTTAGAATAAATGAAAGAAAAACTCTAAAGCATGACTAGGAAGTCTAATTGTGGACTATTGGGGATAAAAACGATTTACAGATTTTAATTTCAAAAATAGTGATGTTCACACAAAAAGCCATGAGTTCTATATTATACCACCAGCTCAAATTGATATGTATATTATTTATGCAATAAACCACATAAGTATAAATAATGAGATTTTCAGTTTATGAAGAAAGGCATGCTGCTGATAATAGACAATATGTTACATGCCAAAATCATAAAAGGATAAAATCACTCAGTTTCACCACTCAGAAGAAATCATCTTGCATATTTCTTTTCTATCATGTTTTAATATTGTTGAGATCATATACTTTATACAACTTTACTTTTTCAGTTAAGAATAAAGAGGCCTCATGAAATGGGCAGAAGGAGAAATTGAGTGGAAACAAAGAGTAGGTTCAGAATAATTTAGATTTCTTTGAAATGTAAAATCTCCTTCTAGTTTTGAGAAATTGGGAGAAAGTAGAACGGCTTGGGAATTATGGACATGTTGGAGAAGACAGCTGACTGATAAAAATTTACTTCTGGATCTGGCATCTCGGAATCTGCTCAAATGCCTCCTCCCAGGGCCTTCCCTTCTTACTGATTTTCTGGGTTTTTAGAGACCACATTTTCTGTTATATAATAGTCTCAAATAGCTATGCTTGAATCCTGAGTGCCAGGTGTTCTAAACTTGCTGAATCTCAGTTTCCTCAACTATATTATAGGAATTTTCCTATTTACTTCACAGGATATTGTATATGCATTAAAGTAGGCTAAACTGCAGTATCAAATAGATTCCAATGTGCAGTGGCTTAAACACAATAGATGTTTAGTTCTTGTTCAGACTACGGTTTAGAGCAGGTGTTCAAGTAAGCAGGTGCTTTCCTCTACGTGATGATGCAGGGATTCAGGATCTTTCCATGCTATGGTTCTGCCGTCGTCTAGGGTCTTGTTGTCAACTGCATCCATCAGTAGAGGAAGGGGAAAGCAAGTGGAGAAGAGACATGATGGCCTGCAAGTGGCACATCTTTTTCCCAGTCACTATTTTTTTTTTTTTTTTTTGTGAGGAGATCAGCCCTGTGCTAACATCTGCCAAGCCTCCTCTTTTTTTGCCGAGGAAGATTGGCCCTGGGCTAACATCCGCACCCATCTTCCTCCACTTTATGTGGGATGCCACCACAGCATGGCTTGCCAAGCAGTGCGTCGGTGCGTGCCCGGGATCCGAACTGGCGAACCCCGGGCCACCAAGGCAGAGTGCGTGCATTTAACCGCTTGCGCCACCGGGTCGGCCCCCCCAGTCACATTTTTATTGGAGCACACTTGTCATAACTATAAGAGTATGGAGAGGTGAAAAATGCAACTAAGACATGCACCCACTGCAGTCCTATTACCACAGAAGGAAGAGAGAATGAATATTAGTGAATATCAGCAATATCTGCCACTTTATTCATGTCTTGCAGAATACTTAATAAAATACATTCCACAGTAGGTGCTGAGAACATTCCTTCTCTTCCTTTCCCTGCATTTGAATCTTCTCAGGGGAGTGAAAAAAAACTTCCTAAAACAAAAGCTATTAAGGACTAGATATTTATTGGGAGAAAATCAACACAAAACTTATAAGATGTTCTTTATGGCCAGAGTAGGATCCAGCTCCTGTTCTCTGTTTTCTGTGTCCACATGTCCACTCCTGAGTGATGAGAGGCTATCTGTGCATTTGGGGGGTCGAGGCTCAGAAAGGTTCTCAGTTCCCAAGAAAGGTCCAACTGACTCCTCCTGAGATGGTGAGAAAGTAGACTGTCATTAAAAAAATTATTTTTAATGACATAGGTTGAAATAAAAAGAAATTTATTGATTAACCCTTCTAAGTTCAAAATGCAACTAACTCCCTAACCCAATGCCCTGAGCAAGGTGCTTAACAGAGGGGTTGCTTTCATTCCGTCCCCACCCATGGCATAGGACATTCTGCAATAGCTCCCACTCATGATTCAGAGGACTTGTAAACTCTAGAGTCGGTAAAAATGAATACCGACGTCTTTATTCCTATGTGAAACAAAAACGGAAACTTAGGCCACAAGTTTCTAACTAAGCAAGAGCTAATATTGATCTTCTGCAAAGTTCCACAGTTTCACTATTTAGTGAAATTCTGAGGCCCAATGGCTTTCGTTGCATGTGGAATGCCCCTTTCCGGTGTCAGGTATACTGAGTGACGTGTAGATCCTAGAGTGTGGCACAGTCTCTTGTGTCTCTCTGAGATTTTGCATCTCTCACCCCTGGTGGATCTCTGTCCAACCTCGTTTGCCAGGGAAATGGCCATACTTGCTTCAGCTTGCAGCGCTACTGTCACTGTCTTTAGAAGGCCTTTCTGAGCCTCTGTGCTCTGAGGCATTCTGTCCTCCGTGCTCCTATTGTCCCTTGTGCTTACCTCTCGTAAGGCTTCCTTTCACATCACATTACACATTTTTCTTTGCATGTCTCTCTTTCTTCAGTACCTAGCATGCTCCTGGTGCTCAATGAACAGCTGTTGAATGAATGAATGCTAACCTCTCAAAAGCATAGTCAGTGATCTTTCATCTTTGTATCCACAGCAAAATGTCTGGCCCCTGGTAGTTTCATAGCATGGATTTGGAGAGAGATCAGGAGCAGAGAAAAGAGAAGGACGGATGAAAGAAAGAAGAAAAGATGGAAGGAAGGAGGTATCAGCAGGCAGAGGATGTAAGGCATGTTAAAGGTTAAGGTTGTAAGAAAATAAAATATAAAGCAAATTTTAGGAGGAATCCATAAGACGGACACTGTAATGATTGGGGAAAGAGAGGAAGAATCATGGAGGAAACAGCATTTGAGATGACTCTTAACCCACAAAAGGGAATTAGATGGAGGAGGAGAATGGAAATTGGGCCGAGAAAGTACCAGGGGTTTAAGAACAGAGGCAGGACATATTTTGGGGTAAAGGCGTCTTAGTTGAACACTGTTTAATTTCTCCTTGAGAGTTGAAAGTGGTGGCTATGTGAGATGTTCCTACAACTCTCTCTGATCCTCTTCCAGGAACTGGCGGTTGGTCCCCAGCAGATTCCAATGCTCAACAGTGGCTCCAGATGGACCTGGGAAACAGAGTGGAGATTACAGCAGTGGCCACGCAGGGAAGATACGGGAGCTCTGACTGGGTGACGAGTTACAGCCTGATGTTCAGTGACACAGGACGCAACTGGAAACAGTACAAGCAAGAAGACAGCATCTGGGTAGGACATCTTTTCTCTTCAGATGAATATAACTGAGATGTGGTAATGGTAACCAGGGAACATTTCTGTCATTTTCCTATACCCAGATTGTTGGTGGCTTGATAACTGCTGAGTGCCCATTCAGAAATAATGAGACCACCTATAAGTCCCATCTCCAGCATGGCTCCAGTTTCTAGGGAAATTGGGCGTCTGTTGCAAAAAGTTTAGTTTTCCTCCTTTTCTGGTAACTTGGGTAATTCACTGACTGAGCCAGAAGTTCTTCATCTATAAAAACAGAAATATACTGCAGAGTCTGCTTGTTAATGAAAATGTATTAATTTCCTTACTTATTTGTTTATTATGTACCAGGCACTTTACATATCTTATAATGACCCAACTAGCTCAGTTATGTAACTTGACCAAAGTTGCCCAATTTGTGAATCTTGGCATGGGAATCTGTAGTCTGGTCTGACTTTAAAGCCACTGTGCTCAACAGCCTCTATTTAAGATTTGAAAATAATTAAAAGCTTAAAAATACAAAACAAATATACAACTTAGAATTTTTCTGTTATTATGAACAATCTTCAGCTTGGAAGTGAAGGACAGTTTGCTCCAAGTTGTAAAAAAAAAAAGTACTTCCCTTCTCCACCCGTAAGCCCCAGTTCTCGACCTCACAGTGTAAGGGCAAAGCTGTCCCCAAACTGTGAGGTGAGGAAAGGGTGGCAGAGGCGGAGAGCCAGAGGCACCGGGAGGAGGCTTCAGAAACTCATGCACTACGTGAAGTAGTTTGTTTATGTCATGTGTAGTCTAGGGAAAAAAATCGCCAAATATTTATTTTTTTCTATATGTACATAAAATGTGAAAATTTAGCAATTGATAGCATGATCTTTCCTTCTCATAATTTCCCTAGTTGTTTTCTCCCTTAAATCAATGCCAGTATGATTTCAAATTATTGTTGTTCGACCATGCATTTTTCTGTGTTGCTCCCACTTCGTTGGAAAAAAAATTCTATTTTATATGCATTGTTATTTGTTAATTGCCAACCCATCACTACTGCTAATTGAAAACAATAGTAAACTGAGGATTAAGATTAGTTATGGCAGATTGAATCTTGGGAATGTTATTATCGTCATTTTATTCTGGGTCGCTTGTAATGTTAGGTTGTAATATTCACGGAGAGCGTGGATTTTCGTCTTAAAAATAGTGTTTTGGGGACTTCTAGTTTTTTTTTCTGAATTTTGAAGCCTCCATAAATTTTCACAGGTTTTTATTTTGTTTTATTTTTAGTTTGAAATGAGAGATAAATACACCTTCATTTTGAGGAACAATTTTAAGGTTTTATGTTAACTTGAGAGAGACAAATAGATGTGGGATTATTTATTTTCTTTGGCATTTCCAATCAGAACTGGTTGTTTTTCAGATTGAATTGCAGTTTTGAGTTATTTTGTCTAAAATTTTTTAAAAGCCTTAGCTTCATTTTCTTTAAAACCAAATGACCTGCTTTCAGTCTACCCTCTGGATCAGAGTGTATTTCAAGGATTGACAATTTCTTTGGCATAAGTGAACAGCTGACATAAGGTCTATTTCACTTCCTTGCCTCTGTTGGTTTACCTGTGTTTTCAAATACCTCCAAGCTCCTTAAAGGCAAGTGCCTGTCTTATAGGTTCTTGTCGCCTCTATGCCCATTATTGCTGGACACATAGCAGGAACTAATTTTTGGATGGTTATTAAAAGAACTACAGAATTACTGGGGGTTCCAGAGTCGGAGGGGCGGAGAATATCCCCGTCCCTTCTTCATCCTCACAATAGCCTTGGTATTTCCAGAGAGGTAAAAGATGCTGAGTGGGCAGAGGAGGAAAAGCAGGGAACTGTGTGCACAGCAAGGCGGAAGTAGCTGTGGCTTCCCCAGAGATACTTACGATGACTGCAGGGCACTTGGGAGAGGTGGCAGCTTCAGGATCAACCTGTCAGGTGCCGACACTGGGCAGAGAAAAGACTTGTGGAGGGGTAATCACAGCTTCTAGTTTAAAAAGTAAAATACAGTGACATTGGGCAGGAACACCAGGATAAGTCAGGCATAGTCACAAGGCTTATATCTGGAAATATGTGTGTCCACTTATATCAATATCGTGGAAGCTGACAGCTACTGAACACCAATTATCCCTCACATTTGTCAGCAAATGTAATTCTAGATATATTTTAAAAAAAACATTCTCTCTGGAGATGCAACATTCACATCTCCTTGAATGAGAGGCATGAGGCTCACAAATACCAACCCTAAGCTCATGTAACCAGACACTAGTGGTGGCAGAATAAACAATTAGGACTTATTCCTAAATATACTTGATTGCAAAACTGTGCTTTCTATTTCTCTTTTACTATACTTGAAAGTTGCTTTTTTTTCACAAAATTGATTTACTTTTCTCACCTTAAATTTTGTCAGACTCATTCTGTAAGAATAAGATTAAACCCTATTGTTTAATTCACATATTGCTAAAATATAAAAGTGAGAAAGCATCAATAATATATAACTGTATTTCTCTATATTATACGTAGTGCTCAAACTCTCTGAAACTGTCTAGGCCTTCAAGAGCACCCATCAAACAGAGACTCAGAGTATTTTACCAAACCCTTCAGGGACATATATAAAATCTGACTTGTGGCTAATATTCCTTGGTACTTTCACCAGATTATGCTGTTGGATGAATAGATCATTTTGAGAGTTTCTCTTTTTAGTTTTTATTTTAAATTTAAAATTAGAAGTAAAACTATGGATTCACCAGACTTAAGCCTGATAAACAAGCTGAGAGCAATAGCCAAACTAGAGATTTTTTATAAAACTGTCTAAATTGTTCTGTTTAACTTTTCAGGAAAAGTTAATACGCAAAATCATCAAGTATTGACTTATTTAAGGATGGTGTGTCAAGGAAGTAGGGAATCTCTTGAATGAGACTTTCATAAGGTCTTTTGACAATCTTCAACTTTTAGATGATATGGAGTTTGTGATGCTTTTTAAAGTTGATTTACCAAACAACACAAATATCGTGCATGCCATGGATGGGATATCAATTTACTAGTACTCAAGAGATTTATTTTATTTTACAAAGTTCACTTCAGAACAAGAATCCTGAAAATGTACCTGACCAATGTACAATAGCAAATGTTCATGCTCTAAAAATCTGATTTGTAGAGTTTCTCATCTGGCACTGAATGGAATGTTCACGAATGAGGCCACCAAGCAGTCACTTAGCAATGCATCATGATTTATGAACAAGCCAGGGTCCCCACTTCACTAACTAAACAGGCATGAAGGTGTCTCAGGGACAAAGTTAGCAACAATTTTAGAATCTTAGAAGATCCAAAATCTCTTCCTGATTGATTTGTAGACATGCTGAAACAACACAAATATTAAGATTCTATCTCTGAGCAGCAACATTAGCCAATGTTTGGTAAAGTGGATACATTTATTTGGAACAAAACAGTCTCTAATTCTCTAATTAAATCTATCCAGACCAGTGTCTTGTTACCAGTCATTTTAAAAAATATGCCAGGAGAAACACTTAATGTCCCCGTAATATCTATGAGTTACCTTGTCAGTCCTGAGTGCCATGTGTGTGAGTGTTCAAATCCTTCATGAATACATCTGTTTCATATAGACAGTGATGTGTAAATGTTTTAAAAATGCATTCCTCTCTACGTGCATTGGCACTTTCCTTTATTTTCTGATATCTATCACTGAATTTCAAAGACAGCCGCTTGTGCTTGTATTTTAATATATGGTGTCCTTGTCAAAAATCAGCTTATCCACATTGCTCATGAGCTTGTACAAGTCAGTCTGGATCCTTTTCCTCTTCTCATATCAGACTGAAGTAACTCCTCTTTTCAATCTATTATAAAATTTCAGGGACAATTTCAGTTGTCTTTCCCTTGAGCTTTTTTCTTTTTCCCCCATCTTTCTGGGAAAATCAACTATGCCAAGTATATTAGGTATGGACACAAAAGCCTTCTATAAGGATTCAACAATATTATCTGTTTTATTTCCAATATCTTTCCTAATGTCAAGTTTCATAGCCATTTTGGCTATAACAGTATAGTAGGATAGTGTTTCTAGTCAATGGATTCACAGGTATTTAATAAGTTCTTGCTATGACTGGGCAAGAAGCAGCTACAAAGATTTTCAACCCATAAAATGGGCTCTACCAGTAGATGTTAAAAGTGTGCTTCACTCATCTCCAAGTTAATTTCCATTGTCATAGCCCTCCAATTCCATCACCCTTCACGATGTTTCTTGGTTGTGAAAAATGACATATATCGTAATTCTCTTACCCTTTTATATCCTAGAACTTCCCCACAAGAAACCCACAGTGTGGGAAAAACCAAAGTGGAGTCTTCCCTAAGTCCCCAAAGTCATTTTATACCTGATCTACAGATCTCCATTCTCAATCAAGTTTAGCTTTTAGGTCTTTATTGAGGTATATTGGATAAAATATTTGCGTTTCCTGCCACTTTTACACATATAGGAAAGCATTCATACAAACTCCTTCTGTAATCCAACTCCAAGTATTTCCTACTCAGAGACTTTAATGTCACTAAAAACTTTGATGATTTTTGCACTCCTTCTTCTGCATTTTATTTATAAAGATGGCAGAAAATAAGAACTAGCAGCAATCTGTAAGAATCCTGGATATTTCAATTTCTTTCTCCTAATCATATGCCTTTCCTTTTTAAGTACAATCCTTGTATTATCAAGGATAAAGCCATATCCATCTTTGTAGGATAACTTATTTTACTTGTCTTTTGCAAAGATAATCTAATGAGACCCTCTCAAGTACTGGTTTCAGACAGGTATTTGTTGTTGGTGGATTCCTCAGTATTGACCACGAAGATGTTAGTGGTCTGCTTTACCTACATGTTCACTTACTTCTTCCAAATCTCCCTTTCGTTAGGCATTCACAATCAGTCTCTGCTTGATGGAGGTCATATGTGCCATAATCATTCCTTATGTCATAACATAGGCAGGC